TGTGCCAGGAGTGAGCCCAGGGAAAACAATAAAGGGGGGTATGAGGCATTAGGGAGCCTGGGAGGCTTCACTGAGAAGGGGACCTTCGAGTAAAGTCCCCAAGGATGTGGCGATGGGGCCGGGGCTCATTCCAGGCCGAGGGGACAGCGAGTGCGGAGGCTTGGGGCTCAGCGCGGTGGAGGAGGGTGCTGAGGTGTGGGGGGGAGTGCGTCGTGCAGGTCCCCGCAGGCCCCTGCCTTGGACCCTGAGGTGGGAGCCATGGCGGGGTATGGGACCGGGCAGTGAGGTGGTCGGACTTAGCGGGCAGACCCCGGCTGCCGGGTGGATCCACGCAGAAGGAGTCGCGACATCGCGGAGAGAGCTGAGAGGAGACTGGCCCGCGAGCCCCTGGACGGCCCGGAGCCCCTGCGGCCTGTCAGTCCTTTCGCTTCCGAGGTGCCTGCGGCTGCGATTTCACCACGCGCTGAATTCCACCTGTGTCCCACGTGCCGCGCACCTGCACCCTCGGAGTCTTCGGGGGTGGGGTCTCCGTGGGGTGACTCAGATGAGTCAGTGTAGGTTCGCACCTTTCCCCCTGCTCCCCCCGTTAGCTGATACTTTTCATCTTTATTTCATCATCATCATCATCATTATTATTATTAAAGCAAGGGCAGGAGGAGGGGGCTTTAACGGGATTTTGTCCTTGTCTCCCTCTCGTCTGCATTTTCTTGGCTCGAAGAGAGCGACCTCCAGTCCATTATCCCGGAAGACTCGGGCTGGACTTCTGCACAGTATGTTCTCCATCGGTCCAGTGGGCTCTGGTGACCACACCTCCCGAGGAGGTGGTGAAGGGCATTTTTCTAAATAGTGGTGTTAAGCAATAGAAGGAGCCCTGGTTGCTCGGTGGTTAAGCTCTCAGCTGCTTAATGAAAGGTCGATGGTTCAAACCCCCAGCCGCTCCTCTGGAGAAGGATGCAACAGTCCACTTCAGTGAAGTTTACAGCCTTGGAAACTCTGACGGGCAGTTTCACTCTGTCCTAAACATTTGCTGTGAGTCAGAATTGACTGCCCGGCAATGGAGGGTTTTTGTTTGTTTGTTTAATGTTTTATTAAAAAAAAAAATAAAGCTTTGTTAGATGGGATTACCATAACCAAAGTTATTGGAGGTGGATCCCTGACCACTCTCGTTATACCCAGGGCCTAGAAAGAAAGGTGCTAAAAACCAAACCCAAACCCATCCAGTTCATTCCGACTGATAGAGAGCTCCATTGGGTCTTCCAGGCAATAAATCTTTACAGAAGACGACTGCCCCATCTTCCTTCCGCGGAGTGGCTGGTGGGTTTGAACCACCAATCTTCTGGTTAGCAGTCAAATGCCTTAGGCACTGCACCTCCAGAACTCCTTGGAAGGGTGGTGGTGGTGGTGTTTGCAGTCGAGTCAGCCCTGACTCATAGCAACCCCTGCTTGGGTTTCCGAGGCGGTATCGCTACAGAAGTAGATT